CTGCGGCCGAGCTATGGAGGGTGGCGGGTAGCCGAGCCCAGTGCCCCCCACACGCGGTAAGGCGCGCGAAGTTTGGCGGGTGCGGGGCTGAGGGAGGGGGCGTGCCGGGGGCAGCGCAACAGGTCCGGGAGCCGGGGCTTTCTTATGGGGGGGAAAAAATCGGCTTTAAAAAGAAAAGAAAAAAAAGGTGATTCTTAAAATTTTTTTTATTGTTTTTAATGTATTTTCCTTTCATTTCCGTCGCGGCCCCCGCTGGAAATGGCCGCGCGGTGTTTCGGGGCCCCCCTTGCGCGGGGCGGGGAGGAGCCGGCCCGCGGCGCGTCCCGCGGGGAAGTTGGGGCGGCCCGAGCCCGGGCCCGAGCGCCAGGACGAGGGGGCTCCGCCGGTTCTACCCTGCGCCCGCCACTGCCCGGGAGCGATTTGAGCCCCTTCCCTAGAGAAAATGAGATGACTGCTGCTACTACAGTACTCGTATTGCTCCTAGCTTACTAGTGATAGCGTTCCTCTTCCCATCACCACGATTATTTTGCTTACTAAATTGTTTCATTAGCAAACCCGCACTTTGAGCACTTTTTGCTGTCATTTTTGTTTGAGCATGTTTCTACCATCACTTTTGTTTCGGCGTTTTTTATGCTGTCACTTTTCTTTCCGTGGTTTTTATGCTGTCAGTTTTGTTTTTTTATGCTGTTATTTTTCCATTTTTATGCCATCATTTTTCTTTTGGTGGTTTTTATGCTGCGGTCCTTCGGACGCGCTGTCCTGGGGCTGTCCGTCACGCATGGCTCCTGGATTGCAGTTGTTGCACCCAGAAGGAAAGAGTTGAGAGAAGTCCTCGGTTCAAATGTGTGGCTGCTCCTGCTGAATGCGGATCGGCAGTACGTGGACACAGCTGGCATTTGGGAAGCGGCTGGAGCTGAGCAGACTTGGATCTTGTTTTTGATCTGGGTGTTCGCCCCGGGGGGATCTGAACTTTGTTTGAGTTTGGGTGCAGCGGGCACCGGTTCTGGTTGGAAAATGTGGGGGTTGGCAGTCTGTGTTGTAGGAAGTTAACAGACTTCGATCCCATCTTGTTTGTGTTTTCTTGGGGAGGAATTACAATAGATCAATGGGCAATAGCAAAACATTTGGGTAGTGTGCCTGTCTAGTCGGTGGGTGGGGAAATTAGTCTTGCGCTGCTCTTACCACACCAACTGATGCATCTGAACTGTTGAGAGAGACATTTGGAAAATTGTATTACAGCACTTTCAAAAAGGGAGTGTGTTTCAAGCTTTAATTAAGCTTACTTTTAGGAATTTGTAATACAGGTACTTGCAGCCTTTTTCATATTCCTTTGTTTGGCAAGAAAATTGTAGAGCCTGATGGTTCATTAAGGAAACTGGCTTGTTGAATTGCAGATAGTTCTGTGGTGACAGGGGGTGATATGACTTACGATTTAACCCAAGTCTAGAAAAGCTTTTAAAAATAGTTCTCATTAGTTACAAGCAACAAAATATATATTCAGAGACAGTGAGAAATGTCAGGCTTGTGTCTGGTTTTTAAATCCATCTGCTCTGCTGTCTCCCTTGGAGAAGCTGAACCAGGTTTGCCTTGTTGCTTATCAGGTTTTTTTGTGCTGTTGTCATGCTATTGCTAACTTCAAATATTTTTCTTTTATAGCCAATGTTGAAGGAATGGATCCCAAAGAATCGCTAAACTCCTCAGAGAGAGAGGAAGCAGGGAAAATTGTGCACTTCAGTGACAAAGGAGGGATTGTGATGGATTTTCATCCAACCTTTAGGGGTGGAGCTACCGTCAAGGCTTCTGCGTCTACATCTCCCCTGCCTGCGTCTACATCTCCCCTGCCTGCGTCTTCTCAGTCAGACTCCAAACAGCAACCTGTTTTGGGTGACTTTTCAAAAGGATTAGCAAGTAATGTGCCTCAGCCAGATCTTTCCAAGGCAGTGTCGCTCTCAATGGGACTGTACATGGGTGAGACAGATTCAAAAGTGATGGGAAACGACATCGGATTTCCGCAGCAGGGCCAAATCGGCATCTCTTCTGGAGAAACAGACTTCAGGCTCCTGGAAGAAAGCATTGCAAGCTTGAACAAGTCCTCTGGTCTGGCAGAGGGCGCTAAGGGGACAGTGTCTTCTGGGTTGTCACTCAAGCAGGACTTCCCAGTCATGACTAACTGCAATGTCCCTTTAGAGCCAGGAACATTAATGCAGGGCCAGATTGGCTCTAGTGGTGGCAACATGAAGTTGTTCTCTGAGGACCAAAGCACCCTGGATATTCTGCAAGATTTAGAATTGCCACCAATCTCACCGGGTAAAGAGCCAAACGGAAGCCCATGGAGACTCGACCCATTACTAGATGAAGGTGGCTTGCTTTCCTCTCTAGGTACAGATGAGGCATTTCTCCACGAAGGAAATTCAGGTGAAGACTGCAAGCCCCTTATCTTACCAGACACTAAGCCTAAAATTAATGAGCGTGGAGATCTTTTGTCCAGTCCCCCAGTGCAGATGCCTCAAGTGAAGACAGAGAAGGAAGACTTCATTGAACTCTGTACCCCAGGCATAAAGCAAGAGAAAACAGGCCCAGTTTATTGTCAGGCGAATTTTCCTGGGTCTAGTGTACTGGGTACTAAAGTGTCTGCCATTTCTGTCCATGGTGTCAGTACCTCTGGAGGACAGATATATCACTATGACCTAAATACTGCATCTCACTCTCAGCAGCAGGATCAGAAACCAGTTTTTAATGTCATTCCATCTCTTACTGCCGGTACAGAAAATTGGAATAGGTGCCAGGGATCTGGGGATGACCCTTTATCTCCTATGGGAAATTTGAACTTTTCTGGCAGATCTTCTTTCTCTAATGGCTATTCAAGGTAATTAGATTTGCATTTTCTTATAATAAAACACTAGAAATATATTCAGCCTAGCAATGTACATGTTGATTTTTTTTTTTACATTGGTTATGTATTTGTATGGTGTTGTCACCTCACGTCATTTAATGTTCCACTTTTACATGGTATAGTAGAAAAGTGACCAACCAAGTGTTTAGCCAGGGGATTTGGAAAACCTGAATCATGTTTTAAAGGTATGACTTAAGGGAAAAGTATGGCGACTTGACAGAAATATCAATGCCTAAAATATTTCAGACTGATTTACGCATATGCAAAAGTCATTATACTCTGAGGAGTTTAGGGGTTAATTCTTTTTCCCCCCAATATTACTACAGATGTTCCGTATAAAAATAACTTGGTGGTTGTGTACATTTTTAGTTAGATTTTTAAGCTGAATTACAGCATCAAGTTTACCATGGAGCTTTAGTGACTGTACATGGATAACAAGACTTCAGGCATGAAATCCCTAACTGCTTGTCTAACAACAACATTTACAGAGATAAGAGCATTTACAAAAATATTTAACTGTACCTGAAAGTCTGTACTTACTGGCAAAATTTAACTCTTGAAATGAATCTGAGTGCCTGTTTTATAATAGATTTATTTTCTTTAAATGGACACCAGCTACCCAATATGATTGGGATAGCACTTTAAAAAAATAATTAAATTAAGTGAATATTGAGATTAGGCTAAGGGTTAGGAAATATAACTCCTTATACTCCCGGAGGAGAAAAATATTGTAGCACTAACTTTCTCAGTGAGCAGCCATCTATTTTTTCTTGTTTGTCACTCAGATCACAGATCCTTGACCTGATCTTAGTAGTGATACCTTTTGTTTAACTTTGATAGGTCTCTAGTTGATTTCCAGTCCCCCCCCGCTCCATCTTTTAGTCTGTGTTATGGTTAGATGAGCATTTCTTTTAATATTGACTGTTTCACTTAATCAAGGGCTTTCACTGAGCTTCTTTGTACGTTTCAGGAGATACAACTGTTGGCTTTATGCACAAAACACTTAACCAAACTGTTGGTTTTTATTGTGATCTTTGCTTTTAATTTTTTGTTAGTATCTGACAAGCTACAAGTTAGTGGCTGCAGACTGGATTGATGGACAGGAAGAGTGTTAGAGGCTACACCTTTTCTGTTTGAAGTGGGAGATGTACTCTAATTTGTTTATAATGTTGAGTTTTTGCATTGTTTCAGTAAGTGAAGTTTTTGCTAGTTTGTTTCTAGATTTCCTAAGCAATGTTGGATTTGTAGTGTAAGCAAACCTGAAAGTTTTGGAGTAAACTACTAAAATTGTACCAAAATGGACTTATTGCCTTATGAATATTTAGTGTACTCTATAGTATTCCTTATGTTGAATTGGAACTCAATTTTGTCGTGCCTGTTGAGAGAGCTTGTGAGTACTGTAATAGTAATGCCTTCAGTGGCAACTGGTGGAAAATCTATAACCTTGTATGAAAAAGAGTTTTCAAATTTAGGATACTAGTGTCAGTGTGCGCACAGATTATTTTGTATGGAGCCTGACGGTGAATGTGTGTAAATAGTTATTCATATAGAATTAGTTTAAGGCCAACTGCTAGTTTTTTCTGAACCTGTAGTGGATTTTATCTTCTTTTTTTTCATTTTGAAAGGGTGATTGTACTTGGTTTTGACTCTGATATGGATTGTTTACATTAAAATGTTTATAAGCTGTACATGAACTAGATGAATTTCAGGCATGCTCCTATATTTTTGCATGTTAAATTTGTCGCAACATGAGTCGCTTTCATAATGTGTATAGAATGTTTTTAATCCAAAAGGGACAACATTTGACAGAATTTGTTGTTGCTTTTGTGAAATCAAGCTGAGCAATTTGTTTAAAATATTTCATTTGGAAACAACTTTATGCTACTAATTAAACTCTTTACCAAGTGTGTAAGGCAGCAACCTGCAGGATTAAGCCTATACCAGACGGGTATGCTGGTCAAGGCCAATATTTGGCTACAATACCCACCGAGCAGAGCTAGCTGGTAATACTGTTCAGATGATGACAAGCTTTCTTTAAAGTGCTGACGTCCTGGTCTTCCACAGGACTCCTATGTGTTGTTAACTATTTTCCGTGCATTGTTTCAGAGGATGGATTTTTTTCCGACACAATTTTGTTTGAGATACAGAAAGGAAAATATTTTTTTAACACCCATAGCTGAATGTCAGTCAGTAACATTCAGTTTCCAAATGGTCTATTTTGCAAGGGGCAGAGAAAGTGTCAGAGATAAAGAAAGTAGTTCTTGCTTTCCAACTTTGACTTTAAATTGACCACAAAAAATGACAGTTCACAGCCAGAAATACTGTTCTATGTCTAATTTTCTTCTCTTGAAATTGAGGCATTATAAGAAACTCATTTTTTTTTATATACTTTTAGAAATCCTGTCCTTTGGTAAGTGGTCTGTCATAGGTTTGCAGTCCCTGTCTAACTGGTTTAAACTGGTAGACAAACGTAATTTGGCATGGCTGGTCATCTGTCTTAGAAATAAAGGACTAGTTGGCAAGAAGCCCATATCTCTATTTCTAGAGAAACTGGTTTGCTTAGGTCAAGGTTGGGATCTTGACTGTACTTAATCTGTTCAGGGGAGGAGAGGAAGAATTGCTACATCTGCATCTTTGACAAAATGCTTTGCCAGTGTCTGGCTCCTTGTTTGAGCATTGATAAAATGTTAATTATTTTTAAGCATATGGGAAGGAAAGCTAAGCTTTCGTTCTGCTGTTCAAATAGTATTTAATCCTGGTTAATGAAAACGCCTAAAGATGACTTGGTTCTTAGGTATTGCAGTTGTAAACTAGTCATGCAGTTTTAAAAGTTTTTGTTTTTAACCTCTTTAAATGAGATCAGGGGTAATTGAGGCTTAGAAAATAATGATTTGTCTGTGGAGAGTAGAAGCTTTAATAGCATACACTTCATAAATTCTACAGATTCTACCTTTAATTTGACACGTGCGCGCACACATACACTGGCTCTTACAGCTGGAAATAACCTTCCAGTTCTGAAGTGGGCATAACTAACGTGGCGCTGTCTCCCCAAGTCTGCAAACAGACCACTACAGTACTTGTGCTGCTGCCCAAAGCTTTAAGGGGCAGCCTGACATTTTACTACTGATGGGCAAAACCATTGTTGGTAGCAGTGAAACTTACAAAAATCACGTCAGTTTCACCCTGCTGCTATTTATGAAAGCTCTTAGCAGGAGAAATCCACTTGAGCTAGTCGCTGAACAGGACATGCCAAAAATGAAACAGACAGGGAAGTAGAGGGAAAAACTGAGAAGATACACTATGATTGATCTCTAAGCAAGGGTGTGGCAAAATCAGAGAGAAGAGTACAGCTAGTTGAAAGTATTTGGTCGATGTTTTTCAGTTTTACTGAGTAGTTTGACGTTTTGTGATTTGTCTATCTCAGGGGTTTTCAACCTGGGGTATGCATACCCCTGGGAGTACTTGAGAAGGCACTATCGCACACTGCTGTGCAGGTGGTGCCCATCCAGCCAGATGCGGGGGGTGGGGGAAGTTCACGCATGGTAGCTGCCACCGCTCTGTGTCCGGCCACATGCCACTCTACCCTCCTCCCCCCGCCCCTGCCAGCAGCTGGGGATACACTGCCTTGCATCTGGCTGACAGGGGTACAATGATCCAAAAAGTTTGAAAACCCCTGGTCTAGCTCTATAGCGAGTCAGATAGTATATGTCACTGTATTCTACAAATACCAGTGAAATTTTTTTTAAATTGCTTGTTTTTAGGGGTTTTTCAGGGTTTTTTTAAGTGAGGATAGTCTAATGCTAGAATTGCTTGCGAGAGAAGTAGAGACAGCACAGGTATTTTTCATCTTGGTCTGGAGCTACCAGTTGTGTGCATTGTTAGATTTTCTGGTGATATTGATGCAACAGTCTAGCACTGGTAGTGCTTCTAGCATTATAATCTGGAGTTGCTAGTAAATCCAAAGCTAGAAGACGGTAGGGGGGAGAGCGGGAGATAATACCAACAGCAAAAGAGAGACCACGGAAACAGAAAAAATATAAATATATTGCTTGTTAGAGAGTGCTCCTCTGGTCTACTGCCATCAAAAATGTTGCTTCCAGAATAAAAATGACTTGTTCCTTTTATCTTACTAATATCCAAGTGAGAGAGGTGGGCCATTTTGTTAGGGGAGAAAAGAAGCTGGAGTCCCAACTTTGTTTTTCTGATTCGTGGCCAGTTTTCTTAAATGAATTTTCTCTGCTTTCCCCACCTACTCCCATCAACTGTTCCTCCTCCTCCTCGTTGGTTCCCAGGTTCTGGCAGTCACTGCCCTGGTTCCATAACTCTGATTGTTTCCAGAATTCAGTCTCCCAGGGGGACAGGGATTTTTAGAGTAATTAGTACTAAAGAGAGAACTGAGTACTTGGCGAATTGCTGGTTTTCTGCGTTTTATTTTTGTAGCATCTTACACTGTTGGATATAAAGCAGTTTGCTTGATAATGGAAACTCTGATCCACCGTACAATCTAAGTAATATCTTACAGGTTTCTTGTAGACTACGTGAGTGGATACACTGTTCCATTATTTGTATTATGGGAGCTTTTAACCAGAAGTGAATGTAGGCTGTTCTACTTGGGGATCAGCGTTTGCAATTACATGGGGAACTGCAGTGAGTTTGTCTTAGTTTCCCTATCCTGTAGTTTGTTTAAAACCCCAGTTTTCCATTCAGTGTCTGTCATCTTTCTCTCTCAGGGTAGCACCTGTTAGTCTTATGTTCAATTTTTAGTAACCTTTTCACTAGGAGTTGGTAGGAGAATCCAGGGAACTCATATAAAGCAAGTTGTGTCAGCTTCTCTATAGTCTGTAATTTGTTTTCTGCATCACATCCTGCAGGTGTCTTCCTTTCATCACTTCCCAAGTCCTTTTTCAGGTGCACATGCAACTCTTCTAAAGCCAGGCCACTGCAAGAGCCCCTTTAAGTGGTTCTTCCACTTC